ACGTGGCATGATGGTCCGCTTAGAGAAAACCTGTTTTTAATCAACTACCGCCAAGCAATTAAATCAATTTTACCAGTATAGTAAAAAGGAATCATGTTGAAACACACTGCGCATTGCAGAAGCAGCCAGCCCAGTACGTACTAGTGATACAGTTTTGTACCATGATGATTTCGCTCCATCACCGACGCCTACCAAGATGCACAACAGGCTTAGAACTGACAGTTTGCCGCTATCGACACAGATGTCACGGCTTTCAATATGGTCAAAACCAACGTGGATACCGGCGGGGCGCAGGAGTACAGCACCCCAGGACACGTGCATTGCTCCAGTGACGTCACCACCGATTTGGCACTGGCTCTCGGAGCCTGGCGCCGCGAGCGCGCGTCCCACGTCGACATCCGACATCATGTGTGAGTTTGGGGATTTTTTTTGCCGACGAAATGCCCCGAAATCTAACAGCATTTCGTACGAATCGCAAAAGCGAAGTGAAGTGGAGCGCTCGCGTGCTTCGTAAAACGTTGATTTACGATCAGTCCGTCTCAGCATAAAGCACCATAGGAAATAACTGATCAGGCTGATCAGGAAACTGGCCGATTAATATTGGAGCCACGACCTAGACTTTGCCCTTCAGGCCGCTTAAGCCCGTGTATGCAAACCCTGTTAATATATTTTGATAATGAGTTACTTTATCTTGTTATCGACTTCTTCAGCGTATTTCTTGGTATTATATTATTCTTCGAATAGCATAGTATTAATTGCAAATGATTCCTTACCTGCTATCTGACACGAAGCCTGTGTGAAACCAGAAGTAGAACGCCACGTTTTCGTAGCCCCTGGGTACGTTTCGCTGTAAAATAGGAACGTTTGAGATACTGGAGTGTGGTGCTATCTCGTGACAAAAAATACTAACTTAAACAAATGCATGCATCTGACGCCAGTGACCAAGCATGCCGGAATGGGACGCTTTACCTTTCACGTAACGCAATACCAATAAAGCAAAGATATATAAATTTCAATAAAATGTAATTAAGTATGGTCAACAAGGCTGCACCTGTGCGCATTGCGACCGTAAATTAGAAAGCCTATTTTAATCCGGCAGACTTGCGAACGTTTCAAAATGTTTAAACTGTATTTAAAAACCGGCTGAAACACCACCGAGACCACAACACAGCGCGGCTTATGGCTAGCTGATATTCAACACGCTGTTAGGCGCTCTGTGCGTTCGTCTTTGTCCCAAACTGCACCAATGGTCTCCAAACTCACCGGAGGAGCACTTGAACTTGACCTGCACGTCCCCGGTGAGGACTGGGCAGTCTGTCAGGGTGACGGTGGCCGCGTCACACGACTTGTCGTACGCGTGCTGAAACGCGGCCGCCCGTCACACATCCGCGGGACGTTCGCTCGGGCGGGAAGTAAAGTAAAGTAAAGTAAGGTAAGGTAAAGTAAAGTAAAGTAAGGTAAGTAGGTAAAGTAAAGTAAAGTAAGGTAAAGCGAATTCGACACTCTGGCGTTGGTGAACGACCCGCCTGCCACTGTCAATGGTGCGGTTGATGGCGATTTTCGCCACTGGCGGCACCAGCAGGAATACGAGATCTTCCACAGAATGATCACTTCTCTAAGCGTCTGACAATAGATCTCAAATCACAATCACCAATTGTCTGTGGTGATTGACACACACACACACACACTGTGACATAAGTCGTCACAGCTTTCACGCGAACGATACTCAGAGGCGCGGCAGCTCACAGACCAAATTGTTATTGTCATTTATCACTGTATTATTATTACTATTATACTATTGTATTATTTATTACTATTATGCTATTATATTATACTATATGTATTATTATTACTATTACATATATATAGTAATATATATATATATATATATATATATATATATATATATATATATATATATATATATGTAGCTTATTATATCATCATGATATAACATATATCATTGTGATTTATTTGGAATAGCAGCCGCTTGGTCCAAATGATAGGCCTCGACGAGTTGTTCTCCAAGTTGACGGCCGTATCAAACGCATATACAAAAAGCAAGTGCAGGCGCCTCCACAGCTGTAAGTGATTTAGCGTTGGACTCAATGGTCACTACAGAGCAGAAGGCGGTGTTTTGGCAGGCGCCAGCTGACACAGCTACTGCGTCCTACAGGAGCGTATTGCCGGACGCCTTCTACAATGGTGTCTGCAAAACCAGCGGAAACCGCTCGACCTTTCTAGAGCAGCTTTGCCCAAACAGCAAGGACTTTGAATATGAGGATGAGAACAATGGACAAAGAGGAGGGTAGCGACGGTGTAAGGAAGCTAGCTGTATTGGCGGGGATAGGCCACATAATCACTGCACCCCGCATTATATTGTTGTATGTATGTGTTATTTTCACCTGAAGCATTTATTGGTTATTTGCATCTGTAGTAAATGTATTCCCAGCTGTAGTTCTCGTAAGTTGTGGAGTGCATTTGCGGGGAACATGCATGCAGATAAGACAGTATTATTGAACCTGTTTCTCGTACAATAAACAAGCAGCAATGGGCAAACAGATGTCTTGACGTCTCCGTTACTTGTCTTTATCGAAAAGAACATCAGAAGTTATTACTAGCAGTAGTAGCAGTAGTGGTCTCTACTGATATTCGTTTCGATAAAAGCATGCAACCGAACACATCAATATATGGATTCGCCCATTCTCCTGCCTGTTCTAGGAAGAATAATGCAACTGCATACTGTCTCATCTACCTGTAATTTTCAATTAAGACGGTGAGTTTTACATGAGGGACTACGCTAGGTAACCATGAGAGATTTCAAAGGGGCGATGCAGCAGCCATAAACAAATGACACTGAACGCCAAAGTTCACAAACCTAATCGTGCTGATTCGTCCAAGCATTGCGACGCTACAATGAAGTGGATGGATGCCTTCAGCACAAACCTTTCGTAGAAAGCTATTTCCAGCAGTTTGGAAGGATGCCCTCGAGTTCAATGTTTCTACCAAGGGACGTTTGTTTGCGGTTGCTCTAATCCGCCACCCATCACTGGTCGATCTAGTTCACCGGGCACGCCCGTCTCCAGCCTTTTTGCCCCACGTGGTTGTGGGTGGCTTTTACGTGTACCACCATGCTAGGGACATGGCCGCCCAGCAAGGCGACCCTCTCTGGCTCGATTGCTTATCCCGAAATCTTTCCAAAAAGCTTTAGAAAAGCTGAATACCTGAACGCAGCATGTGCGGACTTAGCTCCAAACCGGCCCGGGACGGGAAAAACTCGAAACGGAAGCCAAACCGGATGACAAGCGCACATCACACACAACAGCCGCTCTCGCATGCAGCGCGGGACGAAACCATTTGGTGCAAATTCAGATCCCTCAGATATCCTCAATCACTTTCGGGGAGCACGTGAGTTGCTGGACTTTTAAGGCTACCACTTCAGAAACGCAGGAAGACTGGTTGTACCAACAGCTGACTGCTACAGGCTGAGGAGAAGCTCACAAATTGTCATGGGAGCAGAGATGCAGCCTTTGTGTTAATACCACCTGCGTAGTGTGGGCAGAATGTATTCGTATCCCTTACTACAACTGCTGTGGTTTGTAGGCTAGATAGTAATGTTTTCATCTGCCCGTTGTCATGCCTTATTATGTTATTCTTAATTATAATAATACTTATTTACGAAGCGTTGTTCTGAGCTCGAGATCACATATCATCGTTGATAATTAATACCACCTTTCGACCCTTACAGGGCTGCCGTCACTCGTCCAGCCGACACTCACAATGCATCCCTTGCCGAGGGCGCAGTTCGCTTCGAACAGCCTGCCCGTCCTGCTGGAGACGACGACGCTGAAGTCGCTGCCGTCGCCCCCTGCCGACCGTGTGCATACCGCTGATGACGATGCGCGTCAGCAGACGCGCGGCGTCTCCGGCGGCAGGTGATGGCGGTTGTTTTTCATCCACTCGTAGTAGCCCACGTAGCGACTCTGCGGCACCCGACGCGTTCGACTGACCGGGAGGTGGGGGCAGCACCATCGCGGAGACGGGCTCACCCTCACACGTGTCTCTCATCCTTATACGTATCTTTCACCCTCACAAGTATCCTTTTACCCTCACATGTGTCTCTCACCCTCATAAGTATCTTTCACCCTCACGCCTGTCTCTCACCCTCACATGTGTCTCACCCTCAACGGTCTCTCACCTTATACGTATCTTTCACCTCACAAGTATCTTTTACCCTCACATGTGTCTCTCACCCTCATAAGTATCTTCACCCTCGCGCCTGTCTCTCACCCCCCACATGTGTCTCTCACCCTTACGCACATCTTTCGCCCTTACACATACCTTCACCATCATAAGTATCGTTACACCCACGCATATATTTCACCTCACGCGTATCTTTTACCTCTCACGTATCTTGCACACTCATAAAGATCCTCACCCTCACACGGTCCCTCGCACTCACAGGTGCCTCCCACCCTTACACGCATCTTTCACCCTCACACGCATCTCTCACCCTACACATATCTTGTATCTCTCACTCACATTTGTGTTGAGCCAACATTCTACCTTTGGTGTTTCAGGGGCACAGACCCTGGAACATCATCGGCTTTCTTAGCATCAAACCCAAGGTAAAAACTCAGGTATGTCCGAGAAAACCAAGGCGGCCGGGCCCAAATATGTCCAAAGGCTGACCGCGCCGATCAGCCGAGGCGGTGGTGCAGTGCGGCCCTGGCCGCTGGCTGCTGAACCCTGATCCCTGATCCCTGACTTCTGACTCCGGAATTATGACCCCTGACTCCTCTCCTGACTTCTGAACTCTGATCCCCTGATTTCCGACTCCTGATCCCTGACTGATGACCCCTGAACCCCTGACCCCTGACCTTCCCGACCCATGATCCCCGACTCCTGACCCCTGAACCCTAAACCCTAACCTATGACCCCGATCTCGCCACCCACCTGGCTGGGCGTCTCCACGCCCTGGAACTTCTCCCCGACGTTGAGGTCGGTCCTGCGGCTGCCGAAGTAGTCGAGGCTCTCGCCTGCCGTGGAGAACAGACCCGTCTCCACCATGTAGACGCAGATCATGGTGCCAGTGCGCCCCTTGCCGCCCTTGCAGTGCACGGCCACCACGTGCTCGGCGTCGGCGTTCAGCCAGCTGATCACCGAACTTGTGAAGTCCAGCATCTGCCTTGGGCGGAGAGTTGTGGTGAGTGGAGCGATGGCCGCGCTGATGAGGCGCGGGGCTGGTTACTAGACGACTGATGACAGACAATGCGCCGCATGAGCTTCGGAAATCAAATCTCACATTAATCCGATGCGTCGGAAATGATCCTGGCATTGTGATGGAGGTCTGGTGCACGGTACTGGTATCGGGACCTGGTACACGTGGCTTGAGGCTGGTCGACCGGATCGCGACACTTGATAATCCGTTATAACATGATAATGATGCAAATTATCCGAACAACCGGATGCTCGCGATCATCCATCGCAGGCCAGATTATCGTCGGCAGCATTTGCGCCGCTACTGGATCCCCCAGTGTTCTGCCACTTACTGAGCCGTAATACCGCGCCGCTACTGGATCCCCCAGTGCTTCCGCCGCCGCTTACGGAAGCCGTAGAACAGCGCCTCTACTGGATCTCCCAGTGCTTCCGCCGCTTACGGAAGCCGTAGAACCATGCGCCGCTACTGGATCTCCCAGTGCTCCGCCGGCTTACGGAAGCCGTAGAACATGCGCCTCTACTGGATCTCCCAGTGCTTCCGGCCGCTTACGGAAGCCGTAGAACATGCGCCTCTACTGGATCTCCCAGTGTTTCCGCGCTTACGGAAGCCGTAGAACATGCCTCTACTGGATCTCCCATGCGTTCTGCCACTTACTGAAGCGTTGGGACGTTGTGGTCGTCGATGACAACGCGCTGAACGTGCCCTTGGAAGTAGGTGACGTCGTACGATCTTTCCGAACACAAATTGTAGATCAGTACTTGTCCTTGTGCTGGGTGTTGAAGAATCTGCTGACCTCCTGGAAAGAGATAGCACAGATGGACCGCAGTAACTTGGTTTTCTACGCATACATGCTAGGTTTGTCGGTCATGCATTCAGGCGAGTGTCTCGGTGGTCGATGCACCGAAAAATGTCGCATTGATGACATGTTTCTTTTTATCGGTCACTTGTTTGCTAACAGTTAAATCCAATGTGCTGTATTGAATTACCACTGTTTTAGTTGTAAATACCACTATCTTGCATCGAATTACCAACCGTCTTGACTTCAAAAGCAGAGCCTGCGGATGGATTTCACAACAAGAGCTAAAAGCCAGCAAAGTGTTCCTTTCTTTCAGTAGGCGATGTCACCAGATTCTGCGAAGTGCATACTACGGAAAACATATATAGTGGTTTGGGAATCCAAAGTACTTAACCTGACATTTTTTGTTTACAAAGTTTCACTGTCAGCAAGTATTCTTGTCAAAGACAACATTGATGTTGCTGTTGTCAACTGCTTCCATGGCCAGCCATTTTTCGATGATATCGCAACATTGATCACAGAAATTGTGCCCCGCGCAGAAAGTTACTGAAGGGTTGAACGTGCATAAACTGACAACATAGAACAAGTACCCAAAATGTATGTACATGGATACCGGACACTTAAAATGTTGACTCAATAGATAATTCGTAGCTGAAGCCGGGAACTGACTTATATTATCTAACCAATAAGGCATCTTACACAAAACAACTTGATCCGCTATCTTTGCCAAGCGATGGCAGACACCCTGCTTACCGCAATCGGATTCCTGTAGACGGACATTTTTCCGGAGGACGGAAAGCTCATAGCGATTACGCGCTCTGTCACATAGCAAAGGTCAAGGTCAAATCCGTCCTGCTGATACCTGTAAAAAAAACATTTTTTTAGTGCGGCAAAATGGACACTGGTCAACTGCGGAAAACGTGCCGCCCTTTCGTCTGTCCTCACCAGGGCAGAGACATATCAGTCGAGACAATCTTGAGTAGACTGCACCTGAGTTCAGCTCACAGACTGCACTTGAGCTCAGCGCACAGACTGCACCTGAGTTCAGTTCACAGACTGCACCTGATGTGACGTCGAGATGAGCCTGACAGGTGCCAGGGGACAGTCTGACCTTGCGCAGCTCAGACGCAGAGCAACGTCGTGTCCACAGGGTGCGGCGGTAGAGGTTAATTAGACTGCAGACGATACGCACATACAGCATGAAAAGAACCGCTTTGTTGACTTGCGAACGGTATTGGTCCCGACAGGAGGCGTGCTTTGCACCGACTCACTACGCCACGCTACGACTCCGCGACTCCGACTCCACTACGCCACGCTACGACTCCACGACTCCGACTCCACTACGCCCACGCTATGGCGCACGCCCAGCGCTACGTGGCGTCGATGTCACATGTTGCCGAAACTGGAGCCGGCCCCTCCCAGCCCGCCCCGCCCCTGCCTCCGCACCAAGACAGCGGCGCGGCCGCGGAGACGGAAGGCCCCGGGTCGCTCACCTCCGCTTGTTTTCCGAGATGATCTGCCGGGCGGCGGTCTTCAGGTGATCCTGCTGCGCGCAGATCCGGAACAGACGAATCACGCGGATGATGCGAAGCGACACCACCAACCTGGAGAAGCAGGCCTGGTCAGAGCCACGCCCGCCGGTCGGTGTTCGCAGGGCCACGAATAAGTGGTCTTACCATGTGGCCGAATCTGGTCGGAATCTGGCACTTTGCAACTGATTTAAGCACTTGATTTAAGGCTTGCAGCTGATTTATGACTGAATGATGAGCACTGACTTAAGGCTTGAACTCCTGCTTTTCTCGGCACTGTGAGTTGGGGGGATCCTATCCTGGTGAGGAATGTCAAAACACGGCGGTTGAAGCCTGTGCTTATGGTCACGAGTGGGTAGCGCTGGTCACGAGTGGGTACCCGCTGGTCACGAGCCAGGCTGTCTTTGTCCAGCTGTGGTGTCCAGTCATGGCCTCAGCCAACACCGCAGATGCTGCCTGATGTGATATTCTAAGGGTGCTATAGGTGTAGGTATCAAATATAATTATAATAGCGTATATACAAATGCGATATACAATGTAATCATAATAATTGTATTTCATAAATGTATATTGTATAAGTATATTTTCTAATGTATATAAAATATAATCATAAAAATTACTATAGGGTGTATTAACTAAAAAGTGTTCGATACATCCTCGGTGCGACGCGGTCATACTTGGAGCCGTCGGTGGCCATGTTCTCCACGGTCAGATCCAAGACGGATGTGATGAACGTGACGACAACCACCGCGAAGTCCACGATGTTCCACCACGCATGGTGTCTTGTGAAGTTGAAAAAGTACTTCGGACTGAAAGGGACGCCACATGTCAACCAGCGAGGATGATGAGTGAAACTGGGGTGTGAAGGGAAGCGGTTAGTGCAATTGCGAGGAACATTATGCACATAGATAGGACAGTAGTAATAGGCCTTGTTCCTCGGGGAAACGGAAGAATGGAAAAATGGATGCGTTGAAGTTTCCGCAAAATGTCTTTATCGGAACGAAAAACAGAAGTGACTCGTTCCTATTTGCACAGGGTGACGGGTGCTACTGTGGTTTGACATGACCACGTTGAAGCCACATGGTCATGCAGGACAGTGCGGGAAAGCAAATAATTCACTTCTGCTTTTCAGTTTCATAACGGACACGTTTGCTAAAATACCAATGCATTTGTATCTCCATTCTTCTGGATTTTTCTCCGAGGAAATGTTTTTTACTGCTGTCTTTTCCAGGATATGAAGTCATGCACGCATGCACGTGATGAGCCGGACAGCCAGGGCGTGAGACAACCCATCACCGCTGTCCCAGCAGACACTGGGGTACATCCTAGCGCACAGGACGCTAGGGAGTCTGTACTTATCCGCACCTTTATCGGCATTTATGCTAATGAATCGGTCCGGCGTTAGCACCGTTTTGTTTTCAACCGCTCACAAACAGAAAGGTGAGTGTCAGGACGCGCGAAAGGAGATGCAAATTCACAATGCAGCTTGAGCAAGCTGCTTGCCTGGAGCGTAGAGAAAAATCGACATCGCTAGTGATTTGGCTCGACTCTTGGCACGCATGTTAACGGTTTTATGAGGGACCATGTTCATCACGATGTCGAAATATCGGAGCCAGTTGGTCACTGGGGCACGAGTCTCAAAGTCAAGTCTGCGTAGTATAAGCAAATGTACCCATTGCGCTGATTCAAATAACAAAGTACTACCCCAGCATTCGTATCGAAGCGATTCAACTGTGTCGGCCTAGGAGGCGGGAGATACCGCAGGTCAAGGAAAAACATTCCAATGATTTCGAGAACATAACTCCTTTCCGAAAACCAGAGAAATGGGGGACTGAAAGAGCCAGGGCACGTGAATGCATACAGTAGACACTCCGCACGTGCACCTTAATGCAGCAGACACTCCGAACGTCCACCTTAATGCAGTAGATTGCACGTCCACCTTAATGCAGCAGACACTCCGCACGTCCACCTTGAAGCAGTGGACACTCCGCACGTCCACCTTAATGCAGCAGACACTCCGCACGTCCACCTTAATGCAGTAGATTGCACGTCCACCTTAATGCGGTAGATACTCCGCACGTCCACCTTAATGCAGTAGACACTCCGCACGTCCACCTCAATGCAGTAGATTGCACGTCCACCTTAATGCAGCGGACACTCCGCACGTCCACCTTAATGCAGTAGATTGCCTTCCCCTTAATGCAGTAGATACTCTGCACGTCCACCTTAATGCGGTAGACACTCCGCACGTCCACCTTAATGCAGTAGACCACTCCGCACATTCGTCACATCTCTTAATTGCTCTGTGTCAGGTAGACCATTAGCGGTGAAAGTGCCAGACTTTCGTTCTGCCTCATTCTATTATTTTATCGAACCGTAATAATGCCTCACAAAAGTTTCGCCAGGCTCTGGAAGAATTACCTCCGACCGTGAATAAGCCGCAGAAATATATGTATCAACAACGGAAAATGGAAGCGGAAAAACACTTCCCGAGACCAGCGTGTTAAACGAATCTGCCCGAATGGAGGCAAACAGCGCCTGACAAGCATGCACGCGCACAGCAAAGCCGCCGTGACAGATGACAGCCGGCGCCCGTCAGCTCGGCGTGATAACAAAAGGCCGGGGGACCCATGCGACGCGGTTTTTTTGTCACAACCCGACCCCACTCTGGGTGGGGCGGGGGGGGGGGGGCGCCCGATGCCCGCCAGCAGGGAATTCCCATATGGCACGCCCAGCGACGCTAACTTTCAGCGACAGTCATGATAACAGTCGTGGCTGGTCTCCCTGCAAGCCCCACAAGCGTCGCGCGACGGCACGCCTGGTGGTCACACGTGTGCCATCGGAACACGCACGCCTGGTGGCCACGTGTTCGCCAGTGGAGCACGCACGCCTGGTGGCTTCATGTACACCCGTGGAACACGCACGCCTGGTGGCCACGTGTGCGCCAGTGGAGCACGCACGCCCGGTGGCCACATGCGCGCCAGCGGAATACGTGGCCGCAGCGAGGCAAGGCAAGTCCGCCGAGGAAGATCGATCAAAAAGCGTCTCAACTTTCAATCGTGATATGCGTGGATATAGTACAAACGTGTTGTGCGCATTTGATGTGGTGGTTTCATGCTGCACATGCATATCAATACCGGTGATCACCCTTGGAGTCACGAACGCAGAGAACCATGTGCAGCAGTAATTAGGGGAGGGGGGGAGGCGATGCAAGAAGATAAGGTATACGAAATACTTGCGCGCGCCCTTAAGTATACAAGCCTCCAAAACAAATCGAAACGTAAACGCCTTTTCTTATCTTATAAAGCACCTACTTTTTGTAGAAGCTTGCACTGACCACTATCATCATGGCCATTACATCGTCGCAAGCACTGCGATGACTTGAAATGGACGCTTTGTGCCCTCCCCTTCCAATTTTGTACATGCACCAGCATGCAAATGACTAAATCTCCACAACCGAAAAACCTTGCGGTAGACACGTAAAAATAAGTAAATTGAAAGCATGCGATGCTATTTCTCGCCGTGCAAGAGATGTCGCATATCTGTGGCGCGAAAGGCGATTTTTGGTGACACTATTAAGCTGCCCCCCGCACCCCCGTCCAACTGCGAAATCCCGCATGCCACCCCCCTTCCAACTGCGAAATCCTGCATGCCGCCCCCGTCCAACTGCGAAATCCTGCATGCCACCCCCGTCCAACTGCGAAATCCTGCATGCCACCCTCGTCCAACTGCGAAATCCTGCATGCCACCCCCGTCCAACTGCGAAATCCTGCATTGCGACCTTGTTAACATTGCCTTCAAACATAGGACAACACGAAAAGTTGCATCGCACGCTTAGGTGGGATGGATGATACGAGCAAACAAGACACTGTCCAGATGACTGCTTGGGCAGCCTCAGGAGTGGTGCGCTATAGCGCTATCGTGCTATTGCACTATCTCTGGCACTGCTGTCGCCGCCCAGTCCTCTGGCTGCTGTTTGGGATAGCAGCAGCAACGCTCTTCGTTGGACCCAGAGGACTTCGTAGTTAGTTGAGGGGCCCCACCTTTCCCCCAAGCCCCAACCTCAAGTTGGAGAAGAAAGTGAACCAATCTCGGGGGAAAATCCGCTTTTACCAGTTTTGGTGTTGGGTTCAGCTCTTTCTCCTGCTCAGCTCCCCTCCCCTTCAACTTATTTGTGAACTATGTTTCTGGTAGAATACAAGCCCCGGAAATAATAGGTACAGGCCAGAACATACGACGTGCAGAACTATCAACAAGTCGACCATTCACGAAGATTGCACAGACTCTGACAGCATACCGACCAAACACACTCCACGATGCTCCACATTCACTCACCCCACACCGAAGATCCTGAGAGAAACCTCCAGAAGAAAAAAGCACGAGAACGCAAAGCTCACGATCGCCAGCTTCGCGTCCAGCTTGCTCGTGAACTCGTTGGTCAAGTCGACGATCACTATCGATATGTCGACGAGGATGAGCACCAGCACGAACAGGCGACACGCCAGATGCTCCACCGTGCGGCGCACCTTCCAGCGGATGTAGCTGAAAAACAGCGACGCGGCACACCCTCAGTCATGCCTGCGCGGTAGCGCTCTGCGAGTGTGTGACGTCACAAGTGCGCCACGCGCTGTGCTGCCATATGTTCGTGCTCGGCCGGTTGTTTGTTGTGCGCGTCTTCAGCATACTTGGTTAGATCCTGTGAATGGTTTCAATGCCTGTTTTGACATGCAAGCATGGGGACACTGGAATAATTATTCTTCCGAAGTCTCAAGTTGCTTAAGAACTATAGATACTGTTGAGTTTCTATGGTGTGTTCATAATGTCAGCGATGACTATGGTCGTACATGGTACGCCCGCCCGCAGGACAATCAGAATTGGGACCTCGGTTTCCCCCGCCCAGAGCGCATACAGGCCCAACAGCCAGGGCGACCAGAGAGAAATTAGCTGAATACAGGCCCAACAGTCAGTATAACCATGGATAAGTTAACCGAAATACAGACCCAACGGCCAGGGCAACCAGAGATAAGTTTGCTGAAATGTAGGCCCGAAAGCCACGCCTACACGAAACTGGACTGCTGAACTCAGACTTTTCAGCAAGGCAATGCCAGACGGGCAGTTGTCCAGCCATCCAGCTTTTTTTAGAGGCAGCTAACTGAGCTGGAACTATCTTAAATGGCTTGCGTTACCCCGTCGCCCAGTACCTACAGAGGAATGGCTGAGCACCGAGAAGACCCAATTTCAAACATGGCTGCACGCAGGATAACATCATCTACCGTAAAAAAGCACCAACGATGCCTCCTCTGCCCGCTACATTCGGTGCAGTTCCAAAACATTTCCACGGACCGAACGAGAAAACGAGCAAACGATCTAAGGAGTGAGCTACTCGACAACATGACTCCCACTAAGAAACATCGTCCCACGATGAGCCGAGGAGGTGATTCGGACGCACTGGAAGTTGCAGCCTCTGTTGGGCGGCTTGGCCGGGTCGGCTATCCGGCTCTTGTACTCGATGGTGGAGTAGTCGAAGCCGCGGCCGTCCCCGAAGTAGGCGTCCTGCTCCGACTGGTCCAGGTACTCGCTGGTGCGCCCCAGGATCTGTTGTTGAGGCAGAAGACTTGAGTGTAACTGCTCATTAAAGATGCCCATTTACCTAAGCCAGCATAAGTTACGAGACACGGGCGCTTTGTCTGCCTGTGCACGAGCTCAACCGGCCCACGCTGGGCGCTGGGTGGTGCTCAATCGGCCCAGTCAGCGCTGGGCGCTGAGCGCTGCTCAACCGGCCCAGTCAGCGCTGGGCTCTGAGCGCTGCTCGATGGGCCTAGCCCGCTGCTAGCGTTACAGACGTAGAATCGGGAAAGGGGGAGGGGGACGACGACGGGTGACTGAGTCCCCAACTTTCGGAAGATTTAGGATTGGTTTTAACTGGGCGTTAACTTGACAGAACCACAAAAGAATATCGCCGACCCCCCAGCAGGACTTCCGCTGCCCCTGCAGACACGCCATTGGAACTTAACACTTAAGCAAAAGCACAAATTCCTCACCTCTCCGATCTTCTTCGGGTTTCCTCTGTACGGCAGCCCGGAGTCTTCGATGGGGTCGGCGTTTGCCTGATAATACGAGCTGCTACGCCTCGGCCCCCGAGGACTTCCCTGCAGACGGGACATTTTCGATAGCATTCGTGAGTCGCGGAATATCATTGGGGGGGGGGGGGGGGGAGAGCACAGATCTTCGCAGGTCGTCAGTAAGTATATGAAGTGAAGAGCGCTTACTGAATGTCATTACAGACGTGCTGGAAGGTGAAGGGTGGAGACATGACGGTTGGGTCATTCACAGGTTAGGCGTAGTGATTTTACCATTTTACCATTTTTGTGGTCATGATCATTCTGGCAACCGAACAGACAGAACCGTTATCACAGCAAGCCGGCGTTGTCCCTGCATTGGATTTGATCCCGGCCGACGTGAAGGGTGTCTCCGTACTTTGAATCCGAATAATTTTGGAGCATGTGCCGTGTCCGCTCATCCAGACAAGTTGATGATTTCAACAACCAAAAAATAATGGCTTCAATGGGCACAAACGATCGCCGATTTTGGCGCGTCCTAACACGCAGTCCGTGATTGCTTTCAGTTCCGCCGCGTCCACCGGCAATTGTGCCGAGAACCCATCAGCAATCTCGGGCGCACTTGTCCGCCAGACAAATGACGTCAGCGGGCCGGCTGTGACGTCAGCGGGTTACCGCACCTGTGGAGACGATCCCACGTTGCGGTGGTGTCCGTTGTGAGACGCATCATGGCTGTCGCTGGCGCCGCTGTCGTGGCTGTCGCCGCTGGTGAGCCAGCGAGAGCTTCTTGAGAGCACCGAGAACGCGGCGAGCACGCAGTTAAAGTCATGGCTGCCGCCGCTAGCGAGCCAGCGAGAGCTTCTGGAGAGCACCGAGAACGCGGCGAGAACGCAAGTCGGAGACAGAGCGAGCGGTCGGTTGCACAGTGACTTCAGCGGACACATGATTATGCGTCATCATCGACTGGAAAATGGGACGTTTTGCGGTGAATTCACCAGGGTCAGCAAAGTTATTCACCAAGGTAAGCAATCGCAGAAGGCTGAGGCAAAAAATCGGTCGAACCCTTTCAACACACTGCCATTTTGTATAAAGCTGTCGATAGCGCTACACCACACACAAAAGCCGTCGATAGCGCTACACAAGGTAGGAATTCCCTTGCAGCGCCTTTACCAGCGTAAATAATCAAATACACAACCACATAGAAGCTAAGCTGATGCATAAAAAGATGTATCACCTTTTCTATTTGTACGGAGGCAAAGCTCAAAGATATTTGAGAGGTATTCATTGCGTACAAGGCGCCAAAGATGACCGTTCCGGTCTCAAATATACAGGAAACATTACCACGGGAGATCGCGTCCTGCCTTTGGACGCCACGCAGCGAACCCACAGTACTAATTAATCCAACGCACCTGAATTTTCAGCTTTCCGCTCAAAATGTCGCAAGGTTGAATTGGCTTCTATTCAAGCAAAAAGACCGCCGGTGCGCAAGACCGGTGCTACCAAAAGCATTTCTGTCAGCACAAAATGCCTTTAACATAGAGTGCACTCTGGCCCATAGCACACCAAAACACATGAATGTCGCAATCATAGATAGTAGCCTGTCACATTACGTCATAGCGAATGCAACACATAAAATGCGTCTTGTGTTTTAAATACACATATGGTCTGATATGATGATACCCTTCTTCCGCATCCGTATTGCACCTTTAAATCGCCAACAACATCTCCTTCAGCCACTCTCATCCGCCAGCATGTTTCCAAATGTACCAGATGCGCTCACGCTTTAAGCTCTACGTAACTACGATCGGGTGCGGCTGGCTCTGGCAACTTTACGGGGCAATCTTCAGTCGGCAACTTCATGCGATCCTTATGACGCCGCGCGTTGTAGTGCGCTAACGTGCTACCACACGCTATCGTGCCGACACACGCCATGGTGCTGACACACGCTATCGGGCTGACATACGCTATCGTGCTGACACGCGGCTGATTACGTTGTGGTTCAGGGCACTCCGTTTGTCCGTTTGCGAAGACTAGAAGAACTGGCAGGTTGAACAGCGAGGGCTCACGACCATAAATTTTCCGTGTGCGTTTATGTAAGCAGGATAACGACAAGTTGGGACATTACCATAGCTTCGAAAGATCAACTAACTTGTAGCATAGCAGCCTGGGGCCTGACGGAATCGAACACAAGTGCAGTGAGGTCGTGGGGGCAAACGCAATGTCTGTAATTCTCGATGACCTTCTGCAGACAGACTCCACCCATGTCTGAAAACGTTGCGGACAATTCATTTTCACACAATTCTCCGTTGCTCACCGCTTCAAATCCCGTTGTTGTGAGCCTTGTCCCTCAGCACGGTCGCCGGGGGGTGAGCGGCGGCCGGCTTCTTGTCAACGTCGTCCATCTGCACCGAATTCGATCCGTTCATGGACATCTGCACCCATTATTTACACCCATACACCCATGCCCATACCACTCCCATGCACAGAAGATTGCATGACGCTCCCCGTACCCTATCTTTGCCACCGCTTGGCCGCGATGGTAACGCGCCGATACCCTATGCGGGGCCGTCGAAGCAAACGTGCAGTCATTGCCCCACGTCATACAGAAGCGCTCAAGTGCGTTTGCAAACGCTACGACGCCCCGGGCCAGAGTGAGCATCTAGAAGATGAGGCAGCTCAGCGCTGTCTGAAAGCCGTCCGTCAATACGCCGCAGCTTCCTTTGCCCGACGGCGGGAGGCAGCACCAGCTCGATGTGCCTGTGTTGTGTGCCATTGGGGCTTTACGACGCATCCAGCTGCTGAGGCTATATGGCGTAGCCTGCTTTTCACCCTGGCGAGAAGGGTGGGCATCGCGGGGAATCGAACTCCGTACCTCTGGCTTCCCAGACGCGCAGCTGTTAACGCACACGCGTCAACCACGCATTAACCACTACACTACCGGCACCCCCGAATGCGCCTGTGTTCGTGATATGGGAGTGTGACAGATCTCGGAGGAGTAGCCGCGAGATCATCAAAGTTAGAATGCGGCCGTAAATCTTTTGATTATTTTATCGTGTGCATCACTGCCCTGGTCTGTCATGGTAAATCTTTCTATTATTTTATCGTGTGCATCACTGCCCTGGTCTATCATGGTAAGTCTTGCCATTGCTTTATCATGTGTATCACTGCCCTGGTCTGTCATGGTAAATCTTTCGATTGTTTTATCGTGTGCATCACTGCCTTGGCCTATCATGTAATGTCTCAAGGCGATCATGACTATGTCGAGAAGACCGGAGACGAAATGGTTGTCAACGTAGAACAGCGAACACGACAGGAAGTCATGAGGCCAAAATCAGCACATAAAGGTGCAAATGTCTGCTTCGAGCAAGCGTGCCCAGCTCGAGTTGCTGATATGTCTGCTTCGAGCAAACATTCCCATGTTTTTATTCGGGGATAACGTCCAGTCTATCAGTCCAACGCGGACCGCCCATGCCAGCCAAAAGCAACATTGGACACACACTGAGGAGCAAGTGACATTTGGAAAATTTTGGAACTTTGGATTTTTGGCATTGGGTTAGAGAGCTTCAAAAATAAGCTAACCCAATCCTATTTCCAGCTAACCTTTTCTTCCAATAACGAAATCAGGTTTAAAAAAACGCGAAATCGGAGCGACCAAAAATTAAAATTAGGTTCGCCACGCAATGCCAGGTCAAGTCATGACCGTATATGAAGTCATCACAGCGCAACAAGTTTTCAAAACGTTTTGTTAACATCTGACGACAAACCGCTTTCATTTGGTCGCAGGGCTACGCTTATTGCGTACGAAGCATCAACAGAATGACCACGAGCGGTTCATCACGTCGAGGCATCATTGTCTGCTGCGCTCTGCACCCAGCGTGAGATTGTGTCATGCAAACATCCATCCACATCTACGTTTCAACGCCTAGTGATGGTAAATTCCTCAAAATATCTCAGTTTGACACCACTTGTGACGTCATCAGTGACCTTCAGGTAATCAAGAAGGTTTTTGTGTCGGAGGAGCCAGGAAATTTAGCTTGCAGTAACTCCTTGAGCGAACCAAATCAATGGGCTCCAGACCATGAAAAAGGACTCCCTGACAATAATTGAAGGCGCCTGAATGTCCCAGCCCAGGCCAGGTTCCGAAGTAAAATACCACCTTGGGCAACCATACTCAAGTCAAGGCTCATTGTTTTATATGGTTAAAGTTAATGTTGATGGTAAATGCGAACGTGGAAATGGTTTGCAATGTCAGCAGATGTTTACATTTGAAATTGTGTGTAAATAGTCTGAATTCGGGAACATCTTAGCAAAATTTGTTTAACAAGATAACCTAATGTTAACCAGACAAATTATGCGGTGACAGTTTGGACCGGAACATCCTGCCTGGTTTTCCGAAACACTGCGAGCTTTCTACCTAGAAAACGAAAATATCGCATCATGGTACTTAACCACGACTATGTTACCAGAGCGTGAGCATGCCGCCTCAGTAACTGTAATGGCGTGACCTTGACAGCTGCGGCGCCACAACGGTGCAGCCAGGATTTCCTTAAGGGAGGGTGCCAGAATCTCGGTGAGCTTGCGGCACGCCGACGTTAAACTTTCTGCCGGGAGCCCTCTACGGCGAAAAACGGAGATCTGGACGAGAGGTAAGGCCGGGGGCCCTCCCCTCCCCCCCTGTTCCTCTCCCTTGACACGCCTCTGCGGTGCTGTGCTATTCGCGCATTCGGTGCATTGATCGCTGCATGGCCTGCCTCGCACGCGGCTTATCAAGCCCAACCCAAAACGTGGCGGTCCTGCACCAACCTGTCCTGAATTGTCCCACTCGGGCGTCGGGGCGTTCAAGTCAAGGTCAAGGTCAGAGGCCAGAGGCCACGCCGGCGCCCGCTTAACGAGAGCCATGTTCCAGCTCCAGGTCACCTGAGTCACTCTCACAGACGAGCCAACGCTGGTCTCCCTCCGCACGCCACTCGGCGCTGCCTTCCAAATCGGCGCGAGAACAGCAGCCACAACAGCAACAGCAGCAACAGCAACTGTGCGAGAACAGCAACCACCACCCTCACTTTCACCGCACAACCTCGATCGCCTGCTCCGCGGCGTGGTGCGGCCGCACCGCGCGAGAGAGCGCACGCCTCTGGCTCGCGATCACCCCAGCAGCTTGAGTTGTCACCAGCTGATGCGCGTCAACGAGGCCCCTCGACAGGCCCCCGGACCTGCCGCCGTCCATTCCTCACCGCGCGCTACGCGTCACACATCCGCCTCACGCGCCGGCCGCCGCAGCCCGGCACAGCTCGTCACGTGACACCAGCTGTGACGTCACCGTAGGCGGAGGGCGACGCCAGCACCAGGGAGGTGAGCGCCGCGATGCCCCGTGCGTGGCTCTCGTACGCAGCAGCGGCCGCTGCTGCGGGGGAGGCGCGCCGTGCTGGACGCCTGCTTTCTCACGTGAACCGGAGAGTGAACCGGAGAGTGAACTATGAACCCTGTCTTTGCCAAGGTGAGAGCGGTGGCGACTGTGGCTGGTGCCGCCTCTGCCTCGCCGGTGAAAGGGGCCGCACCGCCGGTGAAAAACAATTGAGCAATGCTGGTTCATCCTTCGGAAACACACGTTGCCGTCGCTGCATAACATGGTTGGGCGCAGGACGGCCGTCCATAACTTCGTAATACGCGTGTGGAGACAGGGCCTTTTCATGGGGTGTAACCGAAAAGCAAGAAGGGGAGGACGTACAGGCCGGCGTAACGTTAGGCTCCGGTATTCCTGCAAATCAGTGAGGAATCTTTTGAGGAAA